AAATTTAAAATTTGCCTAAATTACAAACCTATGTGGAGGCCTACAGCCAAGTATCTTTTCCTCTGACATCCAACTGTGTCTACTCATTTGTGAGGATTACAGTTTGGCCTAGCTTCCAAAGCTGTCATAACATAGTTGACTCATATTATATTTAGGATCTTTTAAAAATACGTTAAATGTTAAGTATAAGGATTATATCATCATCATCATCACCATCCTATCACCACCATCCTGGCTTCTAGGCCATTTCTGCCTCTCACCATGCATGTCTAAGTTGTTACTCAGGCATTGCAATGGAACAGGAAGAATTAGACAAAAGAAAACAGAAGAAGTAGAATTGATCCCTTGAGATGATTAAAAATGTCATCAAAGCATCTAGACAGCCAAAATTTTAAGCACGCCGTCTTTCGTACAGCACTGGTTCTTCTACTTCTTGCTTCACTCTCTGGAGCCTAGTCTGGCTCCAGAAAAGAATTTAAAAGTAATTCTACACCAAATCATGTCTGGAGAGAAGTGGGATGTGTACTGTTAGCACATCCATGGCAGGATGAACACGAAGTCAAAATGAAATCCACCTAGCTAGGATTTGCCCCTCCCAGGAAACAAAATATGGCAGGAACAGATGGAGATGGCATTTCTTTTCTAACATTTATAAAGTGGCTGGGGGGATTTTTAAAATCTTTCTAAGCTTAAAAAAAGCCCTTTGTAATTACAGCAGCACCTGCCTCATTGAAAAGCGGATATTTCATCCTGGTGCCTCCAGAAATGAAGAGAAAAGAACCTTTGGCTACCCAGGAAATTAATTTTAAAAGTAAACCCAATCTTATTTTTGGTACAATTCTGATGAGATTTTTCTAGTTGTTTTTTTTTTAATAATAATAAAAAACCTCCTGAGATCTATCTTCCGTGCCAAGATAGATCTCAATTACTGAAAAATGATTGGTCTCTTGATTACCAGGCAGCAAAACAGAAATGTTTGTTTTTGTCCTTATCTTCTTTCTTAGACTTAGAACTTAGACTAACTTTATTGTCACTTTGAACGTACACTAATCTGCATACATTAAAATGAAATTTCGTTGCATACAGCTCTCAAAGGTCCTTCCTTTCACTCCCCCTTCTTTCTGTTAAACTACAAATGGTGAAGAATGGAGCAAGGGAGAACACGGGCTAGTAAAATAGCTTGGTAGATCACTTTAGCACTCTCGGTTACTTTATTGACATAAGAAAGAACAAACAATTACGTATAAAGACCTGGGCCACCATGTTGCAATGCAAAGATAATTTGGGGGCAACTGTTGGATGGGCTCATAGATTGTACTAACTAAGCCATAATGTGACTGAAAAGCTTAAAGCATTGAAATTAAAATAGAAAAATAACACACAAATAAATACTAGGCATACCCATCTTCTTTACAGCATTAAATGTTGCTAATCTATTGTGCTTGGAATGCAAACATGGTGGTGCAACAGCCTACTTTAGCGGTTATCTTTATGTAATTATCTTAGCCCACCAGCAAAGCTCAAACTGATGGCCTGTGCTTTCTGCCCCCAGTTCCTAAAAGGTGAAAGCAATGGAAAAATTAATTTATTATCTCCTTCCAACATTTCTCAAGTTCCGAGGGTTACTCAGCTGCAGTTAAAAAGCAGTTTGGGAGGACCCAAGAATTTGCAAGATCAGTTGTTATTCTATACAAGGAACTCCTTAAAAGCATTCCAAAAATCCTACATTGTTGTTTATTAACAATATTGTAGAAACATGAACAGGAAAACGATCCTGCCTCCACTGATTAATGCCAGAAACGTTCCATAAATTCCATCATGCCAGCTAATGTAATTTTGGGTTTGTCTGTTGGTTTTCTCAGTACTTCCCATTTGAAACATTTAATTGTTGAATTCCCTGGAAGGCATCTCTGACAAATGTTGTCAACTCAGCACCGACTTTTTGTTCCTCTCCTCCAAAGGCTTGCAAACCCACGGGACCTGGGGGTCTGCCAAGAATGTGGTGCTTAGTGGCTCTGTAAACACACTCTCACCCAAAGGCAGATTAATATAACGAGGCTGCGGAGGCTGCTTTAAGATCAAAGCTAGTACTCTGGCCTGATTCTGATAAACTGTATGATAATGAGATTAAAGAAAACACAGTTAATGCAGCAAATGATTTGGGGAAAGTATGATCAAATGTTGCAAAGTCTCTCGCTCCATTATTGTGAGACCTTGTCTCCAGAGACTCGGTTCATAGGAAGTGGGTAATGTCTCTCACGAGGCAAATCAGATTAATGATTTCTTTTTAATCAAAGATCGTTAGTTGAAGGATATCGCCTCCTGGAACAGAGGCATTATTTCCTAATCTAGCAGTTCCAATAGACAAAAGAGAAAGCAAAGGAGGAATTGTGGGGATGGGCACGTGAAGCTGGATGTGTCTTGGGCTGCAGAAAGTCCTTTGGGTTAATTTTAAATTCCTCTTGGACGAATTACTTCAAATAATTGGAAAGAGAGATCTCTCCCTCTTCTAAAGGTCCGAGGTAAGGAGGAAGGAATATGGTCCTTGTCAAGGCTCTCACTATAGTTATCTTGTATTGCAGGGGTCCCCAACCCCTGGGCCACAGCCTACTATCAGGCCTTGAGCCATTTGGAACCGGCCGCGGAAGTGATGGCCCCGCTGCTTGCGTAGAACCATCCCCTTTCCCCTCACCAGTCTGCAAAGCTGGAAAGGTTGGGGAACTCTGTTCTATTGCTCTTAGGAGAAATTATTATCCATTTATTTATTTATTTCTGGGGTATCAAACTCAGATCCGCAGGTCGGATCTAGCCCATGGGGTGCTTAGATCTGCCCCATGGGGCTGTCCTGGAGACAGCAAAGGACTGGCCCGCAGTGCCTCTGCCAGCCAAAACAGAGCTTGGGAGGGAAGCACGTGGCTTCCCTCCCGAGCTCCGTTTAGGCTGGTAGAGGATTGCAGGAGGCCGTCACAGCTGAAAATGGAGCTTGGGAGCCCATTTTCATTTGCAGAGCACACACCCCTCCCCCAACACGAGTGATGTCAAACTGGCCACACCTACCCTGGCCACGCCTCCCTGCCCCCCAAATCAAAACATAACCTTGATGCAGCCCTCAATGAAATCGAGTTTGACACCCGACTTATTTATTTACAAAATGTATTGGCCACCCATCTTATCTCAGGGTAACTCTGGCTGTCTTACAATCATAAAAATGTCAGGCAATTAGTTTTTGGAGAAGAAAGAAAGTAGTTTCAGTTTCGTTCAGAAGTCAACCCTTGCCCTTAATCATCCATTCAACTGGGAAGTATGAATGAAGCAGATGTGGTTTGGATTCTGCTTGCTGTTTTTCTTCCCATCACTCATCAATTACCATCTAAACTATAGAGAGGTTCTGTGGAGTAGCCAGCCTGCATTCTCCTGATATGCCTCAACTGCAACTCTTATCAGTCCCAGACAACATGGCTATTAGGGATATTAGAAACAACAGTGCCAGAACATCTGGAGAACTATAGATTCCCCACTCCTGAAAGAGTATAGTTGAAGAGAAATTTAATTCTGGATTATGAACTGTAGCTCAGATTGACGTCTAGCACATCCAGCTCAAAAAGCAGGGCATTATCTGTTTAAAGCTAGGTCCCAAGTGTGATTGACTCACTAACTGAAGTGAAAATAATTTGATAAACCTGTGATTTACCGCAACGACAGATATAGATTTACTGTGTGGCTATATACCTCTTAAAATTATAAAATAGATTTTTTTCAGTGCAAAGTCCATGTAACATTTGGCAAACTGTTCTGAGGTTGTTCTTTTTTTTTTTTTGGCACTGTTATTGCAAATGAAAAAAAAAAATGCATAAAAGTTAAACTGTTACCAATGAGCAAACTTTGTCACTATTCCTTTCATCTGCCACAAGAATATTCTCTTGCAAACGAAATATTGTTTTAAGAAAGAATTAAATTACTACTCTTTAAACTTCTCCACCTATCTTAGTAACGCTCTCTGTTTGACTTTTCCAAGACTACTTCTCCTTTGATGAAAACTTGATAGAGTCAATACTAATTAAATGAAACCGTCTCTGTAACAAGCCAAGGCCCTAGTCTATATTTGTCATATTATGTCTTTTTAAATCAGAATTTCAACATGCTTTGATTGAGATTAACGTAAGAGGCTAGGACTATTTTGTTTATTTCTCTCCTTACTGAAAATTTGGAATGAAAAAGGTAATAATAGAATTAAGTATGCATATATGAATGTGTAACTGTTGTCATATTTGTATGTAAAAGTGATGGCCCGGAAATATGCTGTCCACTAAAAAGAGCTTTTTGTTTTTATGTGAAAAACTGAATAAAATTTGTTGTTGTTTTTAAAAAAAAGGAGGGGGAGGCAGCAGTGGCAATTGTGCATGAATCCAAGATCTGTACAGATTTAGTATTTGTCATGACAAACTATGGTTCACACTGCCCGAAATACAGCAGTCAAGGAAATCCTGCCCCCCAAAAATCAGTCCTAAATATATGCATATAAGTACAGGTAGTCCTCGACTTACAACAGTTCATTCAGAGATGGTTCAAAGTTACATCTCTGAAAAAAGTGACTTATGACCGTTTTTCACACTTACAACTGTTTTAGCATCCACATGGTCACATAATTTATTTTTGAATGCTTGACAACTGACTCACATTTATGACCGTTATAGTGTTCTGGGGTCATGTAATTGTCTTTTGTGACCTTCTGATAAAGGAACGTCAATGGGGAAACCACATTCACTTAACAGCCATGTGATTAACAACTGCAGTGGTTCACTTAACAAATGTGGCAAGGAAAGTCGTAAAATGGGGCAAAACTCATTTAACAAATTTCTCACTTAACATAAATGTTGGGCTCAGTTAATGGTCGTAAATTGAGGACTACCTGTACCAAAGATCTGTTATTTTCAAGTAGCCACATCTTTTGAAATTGGCTAGTTTCTTTACTGTTTCATTACACTAGTGACTTTACGTACCACATCTGGGTTGAGCCTGAAGGCCAAAGGAAGAGAATAAAATAAGGAACGAATGGTGGTTAGCAGTGAAGAGCTCCAGGACTGACGGACCTCTCGACTTCTGGGAATGCGATGGAGGGCGAACTGTAATTCCTAGGGAGATTTGACAGATTTGCAGATAAGAATCATTCGGGTGTACTAAACATTATTTCCTGTACTGTAAAACACTTTTATTTTATTTTATTTATTTTGATTTGTCAATCACTTACAAGATAATAGGTGTAAGTATATACATAGTTATGAATACATGAAATGGGTACATATAAGAAAAATAAAGGAAACAATAGGATAGGGATGGTAGGCACGTTGGTGTGCTTATGCATGCCCCCTACAGACCTCTTAGGAAAGGGGTGAGGTCAATAGTAGACAATCTAAGGTTAAAGTTTTTGGGGTTTGGGGAAGAAACCACAGAGTCAGGTAGAGTATTCCAGACATCGATCACTCCTGGCTATATAAACAGTGATAGATAAAGAAGACATTCCAACTTGTACTGGCTCTTGCTTATTTTCGCTGCATTCCAGCACCCAATTGTCATGAGCCACAGGAGATAATTCTGCAAAAAACCTGAAGGAGGAAGAATCCACATTTAAGATCCCGTCCCTGCCCTCCCAAAAAACATGGAAAGAATCTCAGCTAATTTCAGACAACCTTTCCAGTTCGAAGGTAAATTCTTTGAAAAAGAAACAAGCCTTCCTTTCGCTAAAATAACAATACATGCTGAATTTCTTGTTACCAATACTTTTTCTTTCTTCAGAGCAGCATTCAGGAAACACCTTTTGGTAAGACCTTGAGAAATATAGAGCTAGGCAGCATAGACCAATCTTATATTTAATGGCTCATTTGCAACTATCAGTATTATCTCTACCAGGAGTGACCAGGCTGGTATATCCTGCTGTTTGCTTAATTTCCATAGGTTAAAAAAAATATATCCTGCACCAAAGTCCCTTCCAACTCTATGATTTTGTTTCGCAGAAACTTATTACAGTAACTCCCACGGCTTCCTGGGCAGGAAGTTATGTTTGTTTATGTTTGTATTTCATTTTCTGTAGGGCCATGGAGGCTGTGATCTTTCCTGTAGTTAGCATGCAACCAGCCTCTCCAGGTTACTAAAAACAAGACACTTTTGAGTGGTTTTGGGAAGGTTGGCATATCCTATGATGTAGCACTAGATCAAGTGCCCCACCTGGTGGATAACTGTTAGTAAGACTCCAGCCTTTTCTTCATAAAAATCCCCAAATCATCCAGACACATACTTAAAATCAAGGTATTTGATTCTCTCTGAGCAGACACTGAGCTTAAGAATTTGTTTTCAGAACTGAATTCAGTCTTTCAGAAAAAAAGCTCTTGAATTGAAAAAAAAAACCCCATCCAAATCCATGAGCATTTATTTTAAAATGGGAGTTTAGGATCTTGTTGAGATATTACAAATAACTGTCTATATAGATTCTACCTTTAGTCCACTTGGGGTTTTTATGACCCTTTTATTGGGGTAGAGGCAACTGGAGCTATGTGTTTACTGGCCAGATGCCCTTCCTAACGCCTATATGGAGTTCGCAGCAGATATTTTCTCTTTATGCCCTGATAGAAAAAAATGTATCATTGCCAAAGATTGATCTTTCAGCCTCCTAATTGTGAGGCGAGCGTCTTCACCTCTAGGCCACTGTATCTCTCAGTCTATTTCTGGGTTAAAAATATGAAATTACATCTTCTGAGTTCATACCCTCTTAGAACTACCTGTCAAGCTTTGAATATTACTTGCATTAATGTTTAATCTTAGTTTTGTTTTGTTTCATAAGTACAAAACAGAGCCACATCAAAACACATGCTGTATCTTTGCAATCAGACTTACAACGAATCAAGCGTATAATAATAACTGTCAGATGAAACCACAAAACCATCATCTTTTACTACCCAAGATCTAGCCTAGGGAAGTTCCCAAGGAAACTGAATAACTATCACAGAGCTGATAGCTCCATGAGACAGATCTCTGGTCTTCTGTCTACATCATTTCCAGCTGGTCAAAGGAAAACATGACTCATTAAGTTGTCCTTCCTGCAGAAGGTACTTAGAGACTATCAACATTAGAGGTTGGAGAGAGCGCCTTGCATAGAATGTATCTTTTTTGGATTGTTATTTATGTTTTCGTTCTTTTTAGAGGTAAAATACATAGTCCTTGAGTTACAACCATAAATGAGACTGGCAATTACAGTCGTAAGTTGTGATAATCATAAAGTGGGTCATCACATAACTGGACTCAATTTTACAACCTTTTTAGTGATGGTTGTTATGGGGCTTTTTTTTTTTTTTTCAGAAACTAGAAGTAAACATCAACTTCTGGAAAAATGTCACAAACAGCTGTGAACAAGCGCCAGTTGCTGAGGGTGAAAATGCAATCATATGACGACTGGGAAAGTTCCTGGATATGATAACTTCAGAATTGAGTTGTAAGTAGCTTTTACGGGGGTCCTTCATAATTTTGTATAACACTAAGAGACCAGTCGTAAGTCAAGGACTACTTGTATCAACTGAATGTTTCATTTATAATTATACAATTCTACTTTGATTATTTGACATTAAATTGCTTTCAATATTGATTCCCATGGAAAAGAGGCTGTGTTAGCTTTTGCGGCAGTCCAAAGGCTATACTCAAAAATGGGTGGGTTTAGGCCAAAAAGAACCCAATCGTTTTAAATAAATAAAAATTCACACATTCCTCACACAAACATTCCCCACACATTCCTTGCATTCATATTATGAAGTAGTTTTCACAGGTTACTACTTCACTTCTGTTTGGGTTTAAAAATAATTTCAAAAATAATTTATTCCACCCCCCCCCAAAACTTACTGCAGGTGGCAGCATTTAGCCAACTCCAGTATAATTGACTGACAATGGCTAAACAGGATTAGATTTAGTTGCTACTTGGACTGGTAATTAGCAGCACTGAAGACTAGATAGGGAAGTTGAAAAAAACATTTCAGGAGAATGTAGTGGCAAACTGATTCTTTATTATTCCCTTAAGAAACTTACACCCACCTGTGCGGCCCTCAAGAAACCTACATGCACACGTGATCAAGTTTGAATCAAGAATCTTTCACCTTCATTTTCTACTCTCCACTCTCCCCACACAAATTCACAGCTTCCACGGATTTAAAATCAGAACGTGTACACATTATTTACAGCAGTAACTTATTTCATGATCAGTAGAGGGTGCTATGACACTGAGACTCAAATTCAGGAACAGGTCCCAAAATTTTGTGAGTTGGGAAAAGGACAAGAAAAAAAAAACCCTAGGAAATTTGAAAAGCACAAGCAAAAAAGAACACCAATAGCGAAGGGGCATGAAGAAGGAACAGGCAGTACAAGCCAGATAAGAAAGAATAAGAGAGAGGCAAAGAAAACAGTGATAAAAAACTAAACAAAAAAGGATGACCTATAGCAAAGTAAGAAAGCGAGAAAATTAAGATACATTATCAGGCAGATATTCAGGATTCACACCAGATCCATTAGTATCTTGAACTCTGTGAGCCATTGGCTTTTACCCCTTTTTCAGTATATGATCTAGTCTTTCTTTAAAGTCACCAAGAAATCCAAGATGCCTTGGTGATTGGCTCTTATTCATATCCAAAGTCTTTTTTCTTTGTGCCTAATCTAAAAATACTTGATCATTGGAATGTTGTCCTAAACAAAATGAATGGAAGATGTAGAAATACTGATGAGAAAGAAAATGCTATAAAATCCTTATTTCCTAAGTCCAGTGTCACTTCTGTAGACACGGATCCAAAGCAAAGATTGTGAGGTCCTTGGTGCCCTCTGAGCTTGGTGGTTTGGGTACCAAGCAATCCGAGCCAAAAACTCCACAGTTCAACCCTGAGCTACAAATATTCTCTTCCAAAGCAAAGATTAAAAGTAAGATATCAAACTAGGTTGAATATCTTGAGCTGTGGCGGCATAGTGGATAGAATGCAAGTACTGCAGGCTACTTCTGCTGATTGCTGGCTGCCAGCAAGCAGTTTGGCAGCTCAGTTCACACCAGCTTAAGCTTGACTCAACTGTCCATCCTTCTGAGGTTGGTAAAATGAGGACTCAGATTGTTGAGGGCAATATGCTGATTCTGTAAACCTCTAAGAGAGGGCTGTAAAACACTGTGAAGCGGTACAGAAGTCTAATGCTATTGCTATCTTTTATACACTAGAATGGGTAGTCCACTGTCCTGAACACCAAATATGAGTTTTCTACTTAATTTTGTTGCCCAAATGATTAAAAGACAATTTAATTAATTCATGTTCTCACTCAATGCAATAGCAGTTAAAATGAAGTTCATGACTGGAAAGGCAATCCCATATGTGGGAAATCCTATCTTTAGAAGACATATTTCATCTCCTTTCACACAAAAGACTAGATTAGATTTCCATGAATTAGATTGCTATCAATAGCTACTAATCTTGATGATGTGGATTTCTAGAATCACAAGCAGCATGCTTTAAGTATCAGTTGCTGTTCAGCAATTATGGAAGTGACTAATGCCCATCTGTCTTCCTGAACTTGTTTATTTATTTATTAAACAAATTTATACATGTAACCACCCAATTTACACACAACAACTGCTTGACTACTGTCAAATGCAAGATGCTAGATTACACTGCCTCTTGTATAGAAATAATCTAAATATTCTGAAACCTACATTTTCATCTATTTATGTGATTCGGATACTATTCTTTATTATTATTATTATTATTATTATTATTGTTGTTGTTGTTGTTGTTGTTATTAATCACACAGTCAGCCAGATGTTTAGACTGGGTTTGGCATTTTTGTTTACCTATCGAGTCCTTACCAAGGACCTGGGATAGGCTTATTATTATTATTATTAGTAGTAGTAGAAGTAGTAGTAGTAGTAGTAGTAGTAGTAGTAGGAGGAGGAGGAGGAGGAGGAGGAGGAGGAGGACTGCTTCCGTGCAGGAAAATACAGGGCTCCAAACAAAGAGAGAAAAAAACCAAAAACCTCCAGTACCTCAAAGGGAACAAAACCTCCATGTTTTTTTATATCTGAGAAGGAAGTGTAATAAGAATCAATTATTTAAGTTCTCATCAGGATCACAATCCTTAGAGTTTGACAAGTAATTAGATTAGACAAGGAACTGGGGTGGCAGCAGGAAAGCAGTCTCACGCAGTACAAAATCTTACAAAAGACAATTGTCAGAGACAATGCCTGCTCAACAGAAGCAAACACAAAAATGTTTCAGTAAAAATGGAAACTTTAGAAGTCAGTCCAATAGAAACATGGCTTTCATGTTCTTGGCCTTTTGATAGCTCAAACTGAAAAGAACACACAATAATATACACATAATAAGCCATCTATCAGTTAAGAAACACCATTTTTCTTTCTGATGTTTTGTTTGTTACATTTATTTGCCACCTATCTCACTGTGTGGCTACTGGGTGATTTACAAAAATAAAAATAAATGAAAACAGTATGTTTTTCTATAATTCTACACTGAAAGCGATTATTTGTGTGTGTGTGTGGATCTTCAATCCACCCACCTCCAAGCTTCTCAGTTTATCTTCACTGTAGAAGCAGAATTGGGAATTAGCTATGTCCCATATTAACTCAAGTAAGAAAGAAGTCCTCGCAAAGCTGTAAAGAGAACAAGTCTGGACGTGAGTTGAATAAGGTATAAAACTAGAAATGTGTGTTGAACATCCTATTTGAGTGGCCTGCTAGATAAAATATACACCGGAGTTCCTCAATCTTTCGCTCTTCAAATGGGTTGGATCGGTCTATATAGTCTTCACCAGCATGGCCAAAGGATGTGCTGCCCAGAGGATTATAGCAGTTGGAGTCCAATTCATCTGGAACTTATCAGGTTACAGTAGTCTAGGCTAAACATCTGCTAATAGTCATGTTGGTGGCTTATAGATGTCTACCACTTCTATGAAGGGTCAGGCTGGATAACGTAATTTTGAAATGTGGCTACCAATCTTATTGCTAGTAGAAAAGCATCATAATGCCAGAGACAAATGGAATTTTCTGCTTATGGTGTAGGCATATTCTATGTATCTCCAGGGTGAGTAATCCAAATGAACAAAACAAGGAAGTTGGAAAGGCTAGAAAAGCATTATTTGAGGGAGAGCATTCTAGGCTTTCATCTCTATATTTTACAGCCCGAAGAGAGGGTTCACTTTATGTTAGATCATATTTGTTGTTATGCAGCTATGACTGAAAAGGACAGTGGAGCCCTAACCAAATGTGGGGTTGCTTCAGGTTGAAAAGTGATCTCCTCTCTTCTGGTGCTCTGGTGCTTTTGGGTTTGCACATTATGCTAATTTATCTTGTGAATCATGATGTTTGATTAGAGCCAGAGAATAATCCTACACAGTCTACTTGGACTCACTTGAGTACAAAGGGACATTATTTCCAAGAAATGTGTATAGGATTGCAAGCTTGTGGTTTGGAATACTTCCAATAGTTCACTTCACTTCCCCATGAATAATGAAGTACCACTGGGAAACAAATTGAAGCATATAAAAGATTATGGCTACAGTCCCTCCATCCTGTTCCCCCCCTCCCCCGCAAACCCCCCAAATCCGGAGCAATTTAAGCCCTCTCAAGTGTTTCACTTTGGTCTGGAAATTTTAAGGGGGGAAAAAAAATCTGAATATTTTAATGGATTATCTCTAGAATCTTAAAATACACAGTGACAAATGGGTAATGAGCAATTAATGGAAATTATTCATGGGTCAGTTCAACAATGCAAGACATTGCAAACCCCCCAATGCTTAACCAATCTGTCTTGACGCTTAGACCAGTGGCCCCCAACCTTTTTTGTGCCACGGCCCAGTACCGGCATCACAAAATGATCCGCGGCCCGGTACTGGCATCAGCACGCATGACAAGGCAAGGCGAGCCGAGCGACCAGTCAGCCGTCCCCCGCTTCTCCCCAACTTCAACTCCTCCTTTGTACCTTTGTCGATGGGCTTCGCTTCGGGACGGCTTCGCGACGGTCGCTCGGCTCGCCTTGCCTTGGGTGCTGAAAGAATCCTCGCACCTTAGTTTCATTCAAAGCCCCCCCACTTCGATGAAACTAAGGCGTGAGGATTCTTTCAGCACCCTAACTCCGCTTTCCAACCAGAAAAGCTCACCCGGAAGCATTTTCTCATCAAACAAGATGGCGGCGCCCAGCAAACTGGCGGCCCGGTAGGAAATGTTCCACGGACCGGTACCGGTCCACGGCCTGGTGGTTGGGGACCCCTGGTTTAGGCTATGTCACTTTTAACATTTTTTTATTGCTAGAATAAAAGCAAGCACACATCAGGCTTGTGGAATCTTTTTTTTTTTTAAATGAAGACCCAAGATTCATCAAGCAATCAGCTATCTAGTATAATAAAATATCTGATAGCCTTATAAGGTAGTCCAGGCAAGAAGCACAACCAGAGGCATCGGCACTATCTTTATGGTAAAGTTACATTAAGCAGAATCTGGCAAGACTGAAAAAAGTATTTTGCTCTTGCTCTATTTTTAATCTTTGGGAAACGAGGGAGTGTCCCCTCCAAAATAGTTCCCTTGCCTTTCCCCTGCACCTGTGGACTGAATTATGGTAACACGGTGGTTAGAATGCAGTATTGAAGGCTACTTCTACTGACTGCTAGCAGTTTGATCCTCACCAGCTCAAGGTTGACTCAAGTCTTCCATTGCTCAGTAAAATGAGAACCCAGATTGTTGGGGGCAATATGCTGACTATGTAAACTGCTTAGAAAGGGCTGTAAATCGGTATATAAGTCTAAGTTCTATTGCTATTGTTCTTATCATACAGCTCAGTTCATCTGTGGGTCTTCCTTCTGTCTCCCAAGGTCATTAGGTCACACATCATCAGAACATCTCCCTGATGAGTCAGCAGAAGATCTACATCTATCCTTGGCACATGTTCCATGCTAGAAGTAGTCTAGCTCAGAACAGGGGTAGGGACATTTGTTTTCAAGCAAGCATGCTCCAGGGGTACATATCACTAGTCAGGTTCAAGCATGTAATCCCAACAAGTTTGCTTGATGTTTTACTCTTAGCTTGTTATAAAACATTCCCACCTTCTAGGCTTCAGAGAGTATTTTAAATAGCCCCCAAGATATTGACAGCTCTACTGCACAGTGAAAGGTGGAAGCATAAAGGGATCCCATCTTAGGAAAAGGATTTATGTCACCTTTTCAAAAAATGCTCCCTACTCATGAACTTGGGAAGAAATAGGAAACCTCACTCCATTTGGCCTAGAGATCAGATATATTCCATTCCAATATATGCAGATGGTACGGATTAGGCAGAGGCAACAGTTCTAAAACAAAGGTGTCCAACATTGGTAACTTTAAGACCTGTGGACTTCAACTCCAGAATTCCTCAATCAGCCATCACCATCCACAAGCTGCCAAGGTTGGACACTCTTGTTCTAGAAAGACAGTTAGTTTAGATTAGATTACCTCAAAGCCAGCTCCTTTCCTCTGGAATTAGATGCATAGTGAAGCTTTCTCTGGCCTGCATAGCAGCCTCCCAAGTTAATGAGAAAAGTGAAAAATTTAGGGATGGAACTTCAGTGCAAATTGGGAAAACATATAGTATTTTAACAGGAAATGTGACATTACTATTTAACAAAATATGAACAATCAGACAAATAGGTGTAAAAACTCACCGACGAATCAGGGTATTTTGCAGCTCTTTTTTGTTCAAAAGAACGGATTTTTTCTTCACTCATCTTATCTGAATCAGCCAAAACATAGTGCCTGGGACAGTATTTCTTGGAGAGGCTGCTAAGCAGTCTTAAGATTTCTGTTGTATGTCCTCCTGAAAATACACAGAGTTAACTTCTGTAAGTTCCACAGACCTAATCTGAGAATTTTTCTCATTCTGTTGATTTACAACCTCACCTCTTTTGTTGGCTGGATTTTACAAACCATACTTATCCACAGTTAACTTAAATACAGTTTCCTTAATTAAGCAAATTCTTTCTTCCCTTGATCACTGAATGGTAAACTAACCATAAGGGCTTGTTCAGCAAGCTAAACTATGTAGTTGATTAGTTTGTGGTTCACTATTTAGAACACCAAAACCAGTCAAGTAATAGTTGCCACTGTCTCCAGTTACTCATCTGTCCCTTTCTACTTCAATTCTGTTTGCTAACACATTGTCTTGGGCTAATGGAACAGAATGACTGGCACCAAAGGAAATGGAGAGGATGATCAATTTAGCTATTTTGTTTCACTGTATGGGAGGGAGAGGAAGGAAGAGAAAGCAAGAGGTGGCAAAACAGATTTCCCATCAACTACTAGGTGGTGTAGAACATTACCCAATTCAAAGAGACAAGGCATGTGAATGTCCATGTAGTACTAAGCTATGATTAGTTTTAACCAGTTTGAGTAAATTATATTGGCCTAGTGTGACATCAAACTAAACCATAAACCATGGTTTACAAAAGACAAGTTCTAGGTATAGGTATGCTGAATCAAAATCAAATAAACCATATTTGATACAATGTGTAAACTTTACTATCAAGTATAAAAGAACTAGCTGCTTCCCAACCTCAAGAAAAAGGCAATAGGAAGAGGCAGGAGCTTTGTTTTATAATTTTGGCTGCAGGGCAAAGGAAAAAAAAAGCAGACTGGAACTCACTCTGGAATTCAAAAGTGGCCACCTTTGTTAAGCGAGTTTTGCCTCATTTTATGACCTTTCCTGCCCCAGCTGTTAAGCCATTGATAAGTTAGTAACCTGGTTGTTAAGTGAATCTGGCTTCCCCAGTGGCTTTGCTAATCAGAAGGTCACCAAGGGGATCACATGACCCTGAAAACACAGCAAAAGTCATAAATATGAGTCAGTTGCCAAATGTCTGAATTTTGATCACATGATCATGGGGGAATGCTGCAATGGTTGTAAGTGTGAAGAGCAGTCATAAGTCACATTTTTCAGTGCTGAACTTTGAACTGCCACTAAACAAACTGTTGTAAGTCAAGGACTACCTGTATTAAACATTCTTTTTCAAATACTTAGGTAGGTAGAGACACTTCTACTAAGATGCCATTATAATATTTCCATCAGACTACACCAAAGAACCAGGGTGGTATAGCCAGAAAGTTGGTCTAAACCTGGGGACATCCAGGTTGAGATTACCCCTGGGTCACGCTCATCTCACGCTATTGACAATTATTGTCAAGGAAGAATTAAGGAATTGAAATTAAGAATTAAAATCAAGAAGGGAGCGGTGATATATTAGCCGGAGAACCCACGATCCCTCTCTGAACAGATTATCACCCAATTCCAAGCAAAATTTCTTCGAAGAAACTACAATTTCCAGCATGTCTTGCAAGCACAGCTGCTAGCATCAAGAACGCCTCCTTGCTGTTAGCGGCTGCTTTGCTTTCTGGGTAATGTAGTCCGGATGGTCACAGCAACCCGTGGTAATTCCTAGCTTTTTGTCTTACCAGAACCGGCAACCACCAGGAGTTTGACATCAGCATTAGGAGTGACAGGACGTCGCTTCACCAACCGCAGGACGAAAAGAATCAGCAAAGGGAAAAAGAGGACTGAGACACCCAGCTTTGCCCAAAACGACCATTCCATATCTAGGCCGTCATTCGACAAGCCTCTCCACAGTATTGTAGGAAACTGGAGGGGAATTACGGGAGCCGAAGCAGTTCAAAATACGACAAAATACAACAGAAACGTTCTGCTGCTCGTTCGTTGGAAGTGTTTTCGTCACCGGTCCCGGGTTGTTGTTTTTTTGCAAGCGGCATCGACTAGCAGAGTAAAATCCGCAGGGACTCCTTTACCCTTGCGACATGTGTGTTTAAATCCGCAGGGACTCCTTTACCCTTACGACATGTGTGTTTTTTTTTAATCTATTGGCTTATAGTGAGAGTGGCAGTCATCATTTTTGTGTTCTGTGGTATTTTAGTGAAATAAAACAAAAAAACTTATTAGGAACATAAGACTGAAGAAGGTCCATTTACTAAAGATGTAAGACAGGTGAACTGTCTAGTGTGTTTTTGGAGGGGGGTTGGCTGAAAAATATTGACATGTTAAACACTGCATTTTTTATTGTATCTTAAAAATGTATCATTTGCAAGATGTATGAAATGGATTGTGGACAGGTACACTCTTCCTTTTAAAATATAATGCCAGGGTGCTGAATGATGAAAGTTCATCATGATTATCAATACAAGTACGTATACTTGTGTTGAAAATCGTGTTGCAAATACAGTACAGATGTTGCAATTGAATCAAAATGTCACTAAAAGGGTGTTAATTTTGGTGCCATTGTGATTTGCCATTGTGACCCTGCTGTTTAGGATGCCCCGAAAAATATTACTTTATGTTGATGAAAAAAATCTATCTCTGAACTAAAAGCCAGGATTCATTTCCCCTCCATGAATGGGCTTTCTATCAATTTTGTGGAAAATCTGGCCATAATTTGGCCTAGTTAATATTTTACTTCTTTTTGCTTAGATATTAAAATTAATCAGTATTAAATTCATATCTGTTTAAGGAGCAGCTTTCTTCTGAATGTATATAACAAAAGCAATCCAACACCAGAAATTTTCCCCCCCAAAATGTTTTGATTTTCTTTAGAATGGCTCACTCTAAATCTTCAGCAGTGGTATATGCAATTACAATATTATCTGGATTATCTGGAACAGGAAATGCTTTATCTGGATTATCTGGAACAGGAAATGTTCAGAACACATCTACTCAATATCTTCCTCATAAAAATTCACAACATATGCACATATTAAAACAGATCCTTTAATGCATCATAATAGCTGATCAATTAAAGCCTTGTCTCGACATATGAACATTTAAAATGAAGTAATTGGAACTATATGCCTGAAATGAAGCCTTTACCAATGTTTTTTGGAGTGTTAGTTTTGTTTTTTATTGTCCTTAGCTAGGTTAGTGAGAAGAGCTGTAATGGGTGTGGGGGGAGGGAAGGAGGGAAAAAGAGAGAAGATATAGACGATAGAAATGATAAATAGATAAGACAGACTCATGCTATAGTATCTTCCATAGCTAAGTGATGATCCATAACTATACTTTAGTATAGTATTCTAAGCTCCAAATCAGAGTCCCATAATTGAGGCTACAAAGCCACATGACCTCCTCAAAAGCCTCAGGTGTGGCCCCAGAGCTCTCCCACACTTGCTATTGAATTATTAAATATAAGAGAATTAAATCTTTTAAATTAATTAAAATTAAATACATTCCATTGTAATCAATGCATTGAAATATTGTTTTAATTAAGTACAGCTTTTATTTGGACTGCTTTATTTTTTTGTCTCGGTCTTTTATTTCAAGGTCCAGGCAACCCTTGGCTCAAATAACAAATGCATTTTTTTCTTAAACCTGTAATTTATACTTCTCAGAAAATCTTTGCAAATCCTTATCTTAGTCTGAAGCACTGGGTGAGGCTTAATTTGTACTTCCTATTAATAATCTTGAAAAATAGGGACCAGAAAATTGGAAGTAAGCTTTTAAGCTGACTTTAAATTCCTGTTCCTATTAGCGTAGCATAAACAGGGCTGCTACCGAAAGAGAATACTTTTGCCTGTCTTCATGAGGTTTAAGGGCCGAATTTGCCAGTAAGCAAAGATCAATTGGTTTTATGCACAAAATTAATATAAAGTGGTTAAAATGTTATCCAAAATGCAATTGAATTTAAAATATAAATGTCATGGAGAGACAAGTTTGGTTTGGATAGAATACTTCATTTTTTGTTGCAGAGTATCCGTAAGTTGTTATTATTTATTGTTATTCATTAAATTTATGTATCACCCATCTTACTGTTTGGGGCAACTCTGGATGGCTGTTTTTCGAGGACTTCTATCACTATTATTTTCCTCAAACTGAAATTATAGAATTATCTTCCTTCCATATCTAGTAGTCTACAGATGTGTTGCATTAAAAACTTTTATTTGTTATTGTTAGTTGTGAAGTCGTGTCCGACCCATCACAACCCCATGGACAACGTTCCTCCAGGCCCTCCTGTTCTCTACCACCACCTGGAGTCCATTTAAGCTAAAAACTTTTATAATGGTTACCAAACATGGACCAAGATTGTGTGGGAATTTGGGGCATTGTAATACAACAGGGCACGAAGTTGGGGAAGCTATTTTGATTTTTTGAAAAGACAGGAATTATTTATTTGAAATTTAAATTTCTAAGGTCACCTACTCATTGATGGTGCTTGAACTTAACAAGGAATTAAAAACTATGCAATATGTTAATATACATTTTGAAATGCCTTGAGCATTTATCCTATCTTCTTTCATATAAATTGTATGCTTTGGACTGCAGATCTGTGCAAACTATATTGTAATCTTATTAACTGTAGTAAGAATAACCTTGGGTAGGCTCAATTTTCACAAATGTTTTATTATTGTTTTATGATGGCAGTAACAACATTTCAGATCTTGAAATAGGGGAATGTTATTTATCCACTGTCTTGACTTTTCTTCTTCGTTTTGTTATCTGCTTGACAGTGCAACCACCTATAGCAGTAGGCTTTGCCACAAATCTGTCTGTACATGCTCAGACATGGTGTGATCCATGGAAATTAGAATGTCATTAAAAGGAAAACCAGCATCCAGCCGAGGTCTCTTTCGATTCTTTTCTCTTTTTCTTCCTTCAGATTGATTAAAAGCTACCTCAGTACCTGTGCTAGTTAACATGTTTGATCAAACTGAATATGCAGGATGTGATTGACACTTCTAAATGTAGTCCCAATCTGAATTCAGCCCCCTCCCTGCCTGCTGCATTAACTTTGATCCCTATCCACAGATTTGTTTGGATTGTGACAGACAGAGCAAGAGTAGTTTTAACAGTAAAGGGCTTTAACAGTACCCACAGCTCCCTGACAGCAGGCAGCGTTGATAAATGATGGATGAGAACGCTCCTCATCTTCGAAGTGGCCTGTTCCTTCAGACCTGGCATGTTATTTGCAGAGAAATATAAGTACGCTATGCTTTCAGCCAGTTCCTCTGCTGCTGCTTTTCTGTATCAGACCTAAGGCCTGGCCCCTGTTGCTTTGCTTCTTTCCTTCTTTTCTTCTGTGTTATAAATGCACCAGCCACTTTCAACCTCTTTGGTAATTAAAATGTATATGTACTCACTTACTGACCATCTGGTGGATTTAATTTTTTCCAGTACCAGGATGTTTGTGCCTAGTAATCAAGCCCAATTATAAATCATTTAATGTTCATGAACCTGGGATTATATTGTTCTCTGGCTGTGTCTCCAAGACACACATCCAGATCTCATTTGTTTTTGTTCTGTTTTTTTTCAATTGTTTTAATGAGAGTTGGCAAAATCTCTGATCCATAAAGTAGGTTATAAGGCTTCACAGTAGAGTATAATTGTGCCTTGGGCATTAGCCTAAACTGTGTGTATCTTCTTCAGACTTTATGTATTGCTTTAAAACAAGCTGGCGTGTATATATGTGCTTGAGGATGCAAGAAAAGGCTTCCATCAAGGGGTGCATAGGAGCATGGAATTTTGGACTCATTTTGGGCCAAGAGGGCTCCATAAGGATCATCTTTCCTATGGAATTCTGAAAACTGAAGTCCATATATCTTAAAGTTGTCAAATTTCAAAAACACTGATCTAGTCCAATCCTATATAATGTTCAGAAATTTGAGAACTTCAAATTTCAATAAAAAAAGCCAAGTAAGTAGAAAATTTTACAACAATGTTGATGTATGAATAATCTTTCAAGACATGCTAAACTAAAATAAGTTAGTATGCTGAAGTAGTTGAGTGGTATTTCAACAGTAATGTTCAGAATGTGTTATAGAAAAAATCACTTAAGAAATACCATCAACTGGAAAGGATCTGATTAATTTTATTTTCCAAAGCTAGTACATTACAGTGAATAAGTCTGAGACAGAGATAAATTAAAACAGATCCTAAATAAATAACTATTCCTGAGAACAGTCAAAAATTAAGAATTAGCGCTACAACAGGAAAGAGAATTCCATCTTTATTGAGATGTAGCTCTAAAAGAGATTCTTTTTTCCCTGCATTGCTATTTCCAGTGAGAAAAGAATATATAAGCATATTCTCATATTCATTTTTCTTATACTGTAAGTTTCTGATGTCTCAGTCTTGCTACAGTCCACCTGTCTGTCATTTAGTTTTTACTTTTTTAAAAAAAATCCTGACTACTGATCACATGGCCCTTTCTGGAATATTTGGAGTTCCCTATAATTTTTTTTTGCTCTTAGGAACCTTCCAGGGTTGAGATCTCAAAGCTGCAAAGGCATTCTGATAGTTGTCTTCTCAAGACAAGGAAAGCCTTGGCCTCTTTCATTCCAGGGAAGAAGTGAATTCAGCCCTACAAACTTAGCATCTAACAAGCTCAATTACGTTCAGATAAACTTTTTAAAAAGCTAATTTCAAAAGACCGTAAGAAACTGTAATCTGTAAGAAAAGTCTTCTTGTGTGTATTGCCTTCCTAATAAATATGATCTTGCAAAAGCCCCCCAAATGTCCTGCAGTTTCACCTCCGGCTGGGTTCTTACATCTTAGATTCAAACATTTTCCATTCCTGGCTGTGAGCTGCTGGATCAATATTTCCTTTCCCCCTTTTCAGATATCAGCCTTGCAAGACTTCTGCTGTCTGAGACTGCTGTGAACTCTCAAGCACAGG